GGACCGGGACCGGCAACGGGATCGCAACCCTCGGTGCTGCGCCCGCACCTCACTCAGCCAGTGAGCGGGAACCGGTCTGTATGTGGGATCCGAACGGAGCGCCGCCGCGCTCCCAAGCGGCGCACTGTAGCAGTGCACCACCGGGCCGGCCCCTCCTAGAAATTTTAAATGATGAAAACTGTAAATATTTGAGTTCTAGTGGAAATAATTTCTAAAACTTAAGCAGCTAAACCTGAAGCTGTGCCTTCGTGAGGAGACTCTCCCTCTCACAGCCAAATACCTCCAATGGCTTGAAAATTGGGGAATGAGATTGTTCATTGAGAGTTAAAATATAAAAACAAATGTCATCCTACCATTTCAATACCACAAAGAATCTGAACTTATAGTAGAGGATTAGGTAACCACGATGAGTTCAAAAGAAAAATAAATTGTGTGTCTTTACATTTCCTATTAGGGCATCCTTCCATCCCCAAAGAGTTAGTTTTTTATGTTCTTTTCTCTGTTCTCCCTGCCATTTCCCAGAGTCCTGGCCATACCTGTCAGTGTCCTGCAGATCAGAGACTGGAAGACTATCAATTCTGGCTCTGAAAGATTCTCCAGAAAAGAAAATCTATAAGAAAGACATCTTTTATTACTGCTATAGATCACTTCTCACAATCATAACTTAGATGTACTTTGGACCAAAAGTTTCTTTTCCTCATGAAGAATGAAGGTGAGTGGGGGAAAAATGAACGTGTGGTACAAATTTTGTCTCAAATTTTTTTTCATTATTGAGCAGCATTTGCCCATCAAGCATATGGCATAAGACTTCTAGGTGCCAACCCAATAGCAAATATTCCTTTCCTTTCTTGGTAATAAATCCCAGAACAAATGTGCCCAGATAAAAAATTGCATTTCACAGCCACTTTTCTAGGGGTGGTGAATGAGATATATGCTGAAGTAGTTGGGTGAATGTGTTTTTGTGTTGCTATAACAGAATACCTGAAAGTGGGTAGTTTGTAAAGAAAGGAGGTTTATTTGGCTCACGATTCTGGGACAGCTGCATCTGGCATGGGCCCTCAGGCTGTTTCTACTCATGGCGGAAAATGGCAGGCAGCTGGCGGGTGCAAGCAGATCACATGGCAAGAGGAAGCAAGAGAGAGAATGGGAGGTGCCAGGGTCTTTTAAACAAACGGCTCTTGCAGGAACTAATAGAGCAAGAACTCACTTACTAACCACTCTCCTGGTACAGGAAGAGCATTAATCTATTCATGAGTGATCCACCCGCCATGACCCAAACAGATTTGGGATCAGATTTCAACACGAGCTTTGGGGTGAGTTTTTTCTGAAAAGCAGAAGTGAAGACTGGAACTCCTACAGCCATTTGGGACCTAAAAGTGATCTTACAAATGAAAGGCCCAATTTAAAGATGGCAACGCAAATGATGGCAAAATACTGGATCCCTGATCACCAGGGATCCACCTTGCCAATCCGAACCNAAAAAAATGCTTGATAATGAGGACACTATGACTTATGAATAATGTGTTGAGAATGAAAACCCAGAATGACAGTGACTGAGAATAGTGCTGATGCCCTAAGTTTTTCTCACCTAGCTGAGAGCCTGGCAAAAATGGAGAAATTGTTAAATAACATTTATAGGAGGTCATTG